AGGCCCTCCCCAACGTAGCCTTGGCATAGTTGAACCTGTAGGCGATCGATAGCCCGGACACTCGTGCCTCCGTCAAAGGGTCCCGTGACATCAACGGAACCCGAGCTGCCTCCATTACGTGCAGGGGCTGATGAAATTTGTTGGTAAACTTCGAAATTATAATAGAATGGGATTGTGTAAACCAACTCTCCATTACGTCATCTGGGAGATTGAGATTGAGGACCCTCTCCTCGTCAATGGGAAAGTAAGTGTTACCCCTATCTTGGTGGGCTGGAGCATTCTTCTCCAGGGTCAGTTGACCGACATCCTACCTCGCTTTAGAACGCCGTTCCTTCTCCGCATCGAGCTCCTCACCCGCCTTCCTCTTGGATTTCTTATTCTTCTTCTTTTGAGTCGAAGGTTCTTCTGTGGCTTTTTTGGTCATCTCGGCCTCCTCCCAGCTTGATATGATCACATGGAGGTCTAGGTTGGTCATTTCGGTGTCCTTCTCAACTTCAGGAGGAGCGAGGGGAGTCGTGATTATAAGCTCGGTATTTGCTGTTGGAGCAGGTTCCAGAACGGGCTCAATGACTGGGGCAGGTATCGCAACTGTGACTGGCGAACCCGACGTGGTCCCAGTATCAGCACCTCCAGAAGCACGGCTAGCTGCTTTCTTCTTTAGTCCTTCCAAAAAATTCATGCGATCCATCTCGGTATCCTTAACAGAAAACTGGCGTCGATAATCCTTTGCCTCTCGAACGGATTTGAATCCGAAGAAACCGAGTAGTGGATTATAGACTGAAAAGAGAAGATCGTGAAAGAAGTTAATTCAACTCACGAAAGAGATAAAGGGAAGAAAACAAAAACCTGTTTAGTCGACGTAACAAGAACTTACCAAGTTCAAAGTCGGGGATTGCCTTCTTCGCACCGAGTTTGGCGTCAGCAAGTTTAGAATTCTTCGTCAATAAACTCCACTTGCATTCTAAAATGTCTAGCTTGGCTAGATCCTCGAGCTTCTCCTTAAATTCACCGCTGAGTTTCGGTTCCTTTTTTCTCTTGGCTACAAATATGAAAAGGTCCGACATGTTAGTGAAGGAAAAACAACTCGTCAGGAGATTCCGAGAATAAGAGAGAAACTTACGAAAGAAGAAACAACTCGGGTCGGGACCGTCATCCCGTTGATTGGTGTCTCAAGTCGGAAGTCAGGAGACTGCCAATCCCCACCGACCCACAACCACTCGTCTTGGAAGCCATGAAGGGTCTCGGGAATCCCTGTGATCAATTGTCCCGTCTTCAAGTCGTATTGCGGCCTCGCCGCGCAGAAGAAGCAACCAATTGGTGGGACGCCCTCACGTTCCCTACTCCTCTTGAAGAGAAATATGCTCTTCAATTCGTCGATCGTCGGAAATGGCAGTTTTTTCTGTGCCAGAAGGACCATAATCCCTATGATCTTCTTCCAGCTATTTGGAGTTACTTGGCTAAGGCTAAGACCCCAATCGCGCAAATAGTCGGTGATTATGTTATCAAGGGAAAACCTCAAACCCAACCTCAGGCTCTCGGCGAAAATCCCAACACAACTAGGAGGAGGACAGTGAATTCTTTCTCCCGGATAAGGAGCAAAGATTCTAACCGAGGAGGGGATCCGCACCGACTCACGCAGCAAAACCACGTCGGCATCAGTCATGATGCTGGGCTCCCCTAGAAATAATACATCGTTGTCGGGCCAACACCAAGCAGGGCGACTCCAGTACCCCGACTTGACGGGGATATCTCGCTCCACCTCGGCATCTCCCTCGAAGTTGTTCCTTCGAGTATCTAAACGCTCGACGAAAACGTGGTCCCACCGGTAATAATCACCCATCAACTCCATAAACTCCTCGTCCAACTCCACCTCTGACACAGTCCGACTGCTGCTTGGTTCTGCTTGCTCGCCGCTCACAGCCATAACCACGACCAGAAAAAGCAGAAAGAAATTAAAAAATTGAAAGATGAAATTAGGGCTTACCGAAAATTTGGATGAACTCTGAAGGAGTATCGTGAGTCGTTGCAGAACGAATGAAGCACAGAAGAGAAGATAAGAGAAATATTCAAGGAATTGAAAGATGAATAAGTTGTTTAGATGATGATTTTGTGAACCAAGATAGTGACAATATATATATATATATATGCAACGTTTTCCGACCGTTGGGGATGAAGAGGCACGTGTAACCATCGCGTCGTTTGAAGAAAATCTCCTTAATCCCGTAATAAATATTCAAAGTTTAATCTCGGACGTACACGTGTCCAGAGTAGTGCGAAAGACACTTTCACAGCGTAGGAAAAGACACGTTCACAGCGTGGGAAAGACACGTTCACAGCTTCCGGAAACTGCTCTGCAACCTCCTCTTGATCTTATACAAATCAATTGATTGAGAAAGTGTGTAATTCTTGTCTAAGAAAATCATCTTGGTATACTCTTAAAAGATTTGCGAATAACTCCGAAAGCGAAAGCCGGTCAAAAAGAAAGTGTCATTAAGAAGCGCGCTTATTTGCGTGCTCCTTAATAACAGGGGCCTCTATGTTGACATCAAAACCAAGTACCACAGATTAAGGATATTCTGAGTTGGTTTAGGAGAATCTTAGGATTAATTAATAGAAGTCCGAGCTACAATTAAGGTCTTCGGCACCATCTCGATATCGAATCGACACCTCGGTATTACCACCTCGGTTTCCAAGAAGCAAATAGCAGACCCCAAGATTGTCCCAGCATCGCATGAACACCTCGGGATCGTCACCTCGGGTCGAAAAGAGTTTATTGGAAGGACATAGTAGGTTAAAACCCTGTAGAACGACCGATGTCACGAAAACCCGACTTCACCCCGATAGAAGTGACGCCTGTCACTCAGTAAAAGGGGTGCCCATGCTGTCATCATTGCCTAAAAAGCCTGCCGGCATCATAGCCGCCCCTTAGCCATCATGTCCACATTAAATGCGGCCGAATTTTCTTGGAAGGTGTGCCAGATATAACTATAAATAGCAGCATTAAAGTCGATACGAGGATTTCGATCCCGACACATTAAATTCAAGCATTCATTACCTCGATTTTCTCTGTTACCGATCTCATGTACTAAAATACCGACTTGCCCAATTCTGTAACCGACCTCGTAAAACTCAATAAAAACCATATTTTCTGCAATTTTTACTGTGTTTTATATCTTAATTACGTTGGTTAAATCTGTTTATCAACACTTGCATTAGGACTTCTTCATAGTCTAGGATTAGATTTATTTTGCATCTACAAATACCCATGTACTCTATTATTTTCGAAGATGATGTTGATGAGTGAATAGAAAATCGAATGTTTTGTTCAAAGTTCTCGTGTGTTTTCTTTCGTGAGTTTACATAGAGTTCGTGATAGAAATAGGACCAACATCCGATTTTCTTTCACAAATCGCGAAGTACAAAGGCGTCGTACGCGTATTAGCAACCTATCGCTTAAAAACCAAGGCGTCGGCGCGGGGTTCGAAGCAATTGAGTTGGACGGAACACACGATCCTTCATCAGCACGACTGCACGGCTGGGCGCGTGGACTGCGGGCCTGCTCGCGTGGATTGGCTTGGGGCGCGTCTAAGGGACTTGCCAAGGCTTGAAACATGACTCTTACACTTAGAAAAAATGTAGCTATGTATGGTTATGATTTGTACAAGGCTCGGCCATGACTTAGGCTCACTTCGAGCCTCTTAGAAGCGGGCGGCTCGGTTAAACTCTAGGGCTCGAGAATGCAAGGCTCAAGGCTTGACTTGACACGCTCAACACTTAGAAAATATTCTAAGTATTGTGCTACTAAAGTTCGGCAATGACTTAGGAAAATTACTCGGAAATGACTTGGAAATTTATTCGGATCGAGACTAGGGTTCGAGGCTAAAATTCTCGAGTCAACTAAATTACACTTATCAACCCAAATTAATGGATTGATCTTGACCTTAACTTGACATAGAAAATTCTAACGGATGATCTAACATAATTGAGCATTTAGTATATAAATTAAATAAATCTTGAATTTCTAAAATTTACGAATTTCACTTTAAAGTCGAGCAGTGAAATCGTCTTAATATTATAATAATGATCGGGGCGTTACAGAAGTAGTGGATCTTGGTTGAAGAGAGTTAGGTCTTGTAGATCTGATGTAGAATAACGGACTCAATAGATGGAGAAGTCTGATCTATTTTGACGTAATGGAGAAGGTGAACATGGGTCACTGACTCATTTTAGGACTCGATTTGAGTTCATTGCATAACCGGACAACAACCAAGAGCATAATAGATTATGGACTTAGGACATGTTCGATTTGGCATCTTAGTAGACACCAATGGACTGGGATCTAAAACATGAGAGAATGATTGGGAAGCGTAAGATACATTAAGGTCATGAATTTGTAAAATTTTCCCTATTTTCTTCAAATCTAGTATTCAGGAGTAGGGCTCTCCATTAGCAGTATCGGAAAGTATTTTTGGATTTTAAACCGATACTCAAGGTCATGAATTTGTAAAATTTATTGCTGAAATGTGATAATGTTTATTCCCATATATGTCGATGTAATGTCCTCTGAATTATTGATTTTTTGCGGATTATTTATTTATTATGCATTTATTTGCATTTTAATCTGCTATGCTTGACAAGCTCTTCGGATTAATTAGATGTTAGTGTCTATTTAATCCGTTAAGAGAAATAATTTATTTAGACGATAGTGTCTATTTAAATTATTCGAATTATCGGATATTCATTAGCCAGTCGATTTTTTGTTCAATTTAATTATTTAAAGAGAAACCGAATTTATTAAAATTTTCGGTTTTTCGGTTGCCGTTCGTTTAAGTATGTATTCGGCTTCGTCGATTTTTTTTTTTTCTCGACACCTAAGAATTCATCTAGATCTATTTTAGCAGGTTTAGTTTTATTTCAAACCGTTGCTAGCTTCGTTCTCGTGTCCAATTTTATTGGCCTGATAGCTATTAATTCTTCGGCCCAATATGAAGGAAATTTCGGCCCAATTACAAGAGAAATCTCGGTCAAGAGTCCAATATTTTTCCCAAATCGCGCGTCTCTCTCAACTGGTATTTCTCAAAACCCTTTTCTTCTTCTTTGCTGATTTCACGCCCAAAAATCGAGCAGAACACCATCGTCTCAATACATCATCTCCTCCTCAGTTTTAATCGATCAGAAGCGCAGCCCCTTCATCGCCTTCAACCATCGCGGATGTCGGCGAGCCCTTTTCCTTTTTGCCGTGAGTTCCAGCGACGCCAACAACGCACCTAGCACACCCATCCCGTCAATCGTCCAGCAGCCGGCGACCTTGGTTCAGCAACGATTCCGTCCGACCAAGTCAAGGTCACCTTGCCATCGCCACTTAACATCACGTGAGTCGGGAGTTTCAAGCAGTCGGACCCTGTTCGAAATTTCAGACCCCGTCACCCTGCCTTGTTCAATTCGCGAGTCGTCGGTCCTGCCGGATAAGAAAGCACGAAGCCATCGCCATTTAGCATCCTTTCTCTCAGAATCAATACTGACGCCTCCAACCCTCAAAACAGCCGCACTCCCCTCTGCTCAACATCACCGAGCAGCGTCTTCATCCTCCCCGACGACATCGAGCAGGTTCCGTCCATTCTTCGTCATCGCACGTAGCACGGCGGATCGTGCTCTGTCCGTGCGAGAAGAAGGGTTCACGAGCAGCAACCTCGCCGAAGGAGTCCCGTACGCCGTGCGTTCGAACAGATTCAAGGAGCCGAGCATCACGCATATCATCCCCGTTCGTTGGCGTTCGAGCAGAGTAGAGCCGTGACCACCGATCGGCAGCAACTCCACGACGGCGGGGGATTTCGAATAGCAGCAGCCCCGTTGGCCGTTGCTCGCCTAACAGCAGGCCGTTCACTCGGCCAAGGAGGAGTCGACGGGCAGCAGCGGTCCTTTTTCCGACGAGCAGCAGCCCTTTCGGGCTCGTGCGAGAAGAACAATGGGCAGCCCTTTTGCCGTGAGGGTTAGCAGCGAGACGAGCGATTAGCCGAGGCCCGTTTCATCCCATCTCTTTCATTCGTTCTCGTTTAGTTTCCCTAAGGAGGTATAAGGCTTGATCTCCCTCTTTTATTTTATGAGAATAATTGAAGGATTAAACAGGATTTAAGGTTCATGACGAGGAGTTATAATTTATTGGAGAAGAAAGCATATTGTTAGCATGATATTCGGTTTTATTGAGTTGATGTTGGACCTCGATTAGGACCTCTGAAAATATGCGTTTTTTGATGTTTAAGAAGGGTCGGGATATTTATTTCCAAGTTATTTGATGAGCCTGGATCATATTGTCTTGTTCGGAGCCTTGCCGGGTTCCGAAATATGTGCTTGGAGTTGCTGCGATTTTTAGAGGATTAGACCTCTGATATGGTGCTTATTTACCTGGTTTATTGGTGATTTAGACTGCCTTTGTATCTCAGTTAAATCGGCATTAGCATGTGGTTTAATATGTGAGAAAGAAAGAAGCAAATGAAGGGTTTATCATGTGTTTTGTATGCTTTGTTTGATTGATTGGTTATTGATCCTGTATGTGTATTTTAAGCTGAAAATCATGTGAAATGTTGTGATTCGGGTTAATGAAAACCATGTGAAAAATCGGGTAATGAATCCCCGCGAGTTCAGATAAGACTTGAACTATGATAATGCCCATGTAAATGTTTTATTTCGGAAAAAGAATTTTGAAAATGTTGTCTTGATTTTTGGAAAGTCCGGAATTTCTTTAAAATCAAAAGTGGGGCGTTACAGTCGGAGTGTATCCCCAAACAACACAATTGCTGCATATAAAATGAAAACCAGCCAAGTACTTTGGGTGGTATAAATTAATTGAAAATAGGGATACATTTACATAACTTGACTAAGAGTATATATCTGTAAAGTGCAGAACAAATTCTGTTGACAAGCTGAGATGTGAGAAGAGTTTCTCACTGTAAATACAATTAGGAAGTTGACCTAAACAGTAATGCTGCATGAGAAATCTCATTTTCTTTAATAGAACAAACTATTGAAACTGTGTAACCAACTGAAATTCACAATCAACCTTAATGCTTCTGTTTGTATGTGTTTTATCATTTTTCTTTTTCTTTTCTTCGTTATGGAATGAAGGTTGAGGATGTCCCATAGAAGAGAGAGGAGTGACAGTAGGTACTCTGAGCTACAAGATTTAGGGGATAGGTACTATAAAGAATTGAGAGATGGAAAAGTCAGAATCGATGGTGCTGGGAGATATCACCGTTGTCCATATTGCCATAACTCTCGGATGAAAGAGTATAATCACGTGGACTTAGAAAGACACGCGTCTAGAATTGGTAGAGACTCAAAAAGTGCAAGTTTTCGAGACAAAGCTAGACATCTAGGATTGCTCGGGTACTTGGGTCGGTATAGGCATAGGAAAAGGAAGCCATCCCCAGCACATAATCCTAAACTTTCAGATGCCAAAGGAAAATCTTTTGAAGTAGCTAAAGAAAACGTGTTTGAGAGAACTGATGTTGACGATACACTCATCCGTACTGAACTTGGGGAAACGAAGGCTGAACAATATGAAACGAAGATAAAAAAAGGAAATATAGCTGCTGAAGTTAATTATCCAGACATTGACCAGGGTGAAATAACTAATGGATCTGAACATTTTGGTATGATCAACAAAGCTACATCAGCAAATTCTGGTGAAGAAGTTTTCAAACAGCCTTTGCAATCTAAATCTCGTGCAACTGTTAAGCGAAGTGTTGATAAAGGTGATGATGAGCATATTGTTTGGCCTTGGATGGCAGTTATTGCAAACATTCCAGTTGAGAAAAAGGAGGGGAAATATGTTGGTCAAAGTGGTGGAAAACTGAAAGAGCACTTATGTACCCATGGGTACAATCCTATAAAGGTTCACCCTTTGTGGAACTACCAGGGCCACTCAGGGTTAGCTATTGTTGAATTTAACAAAGATTGGGAGGGTTTTAAGGATGCTATGGCATTTGAAAAGGCATTTGAAGTGGATCGTCATGGAAAGAGAGATTGGCATCAGAGAAGTTATAGAGGAAATGAGTTATTCGGCTGGCTAGCCCGTGAGAATGAATATTATGAGAATGGTCTTATTGGTAAACACCTAAGGAAGAATGGAGACTTGAAGACGCTTTCTGATATCCAATTGGAAAATAGAAGGAAAGACACCTCTTTAATGTGCAGTTTGACTAATCAGTTGGAGTCAAAGAGAATGGAATGCGAGGAGATAAAGAAGAATATTAGTAAGACTGATCTTTTTATGGGAAATATTATGATGCAAAAGGAAGAGATGATCCAAAGCTACAATGAAGGTACTGTATATGGCAAAGCTGCTGGTTTAATTTAATGTTTTATTGATGTTCTAACGTAACATAAGAAGATAGCTAAAACTTGCAATATTATTATGTTCTATGATTAACATAATTTAATAACTAATCTTTTCATTATTGCAAAAGAGATCCAGAAAATGCAGGATATTGCATCTGATCAACTCCGCAAGATTTCTGAGGAGCAAAAGAGAAGCAAAGCGGAATTGGAGGCTCAGAGAGTAAAATTAAAGCTGCGGACGACAGAACTGGAGAAACGTCGAGCGCTGAATGAGAATGAGAAGAGGAATCTGGATAAACAAAAGAAGAAGGTACTGTTTTGTTTGTTTATGTATTCCATCATTCCTTTAAATGATAGATTGATATCAAAGTCTTTGCTGACGTGTAGAAAGGAACTCACTTGGGATTATGGTATGAAATTTATTTATGGCGAAGGCTGTAGTACTTAGCGGTTTTGCTTGTTTGAAACCTAATCGTTCATAAAAATGGTAGTTTGTTCTTTTTCTATGAAATTAAAGACTTTTCCCATTATGTTTATTGCCCCTATCTTCTTGAAAAGAAACTGACAAATGTTAGAATGACTACGTGTCTTTCTGCAGAACGAGTTGGCAATTATAGAACAAAAGAAGGCTGATGAAAAAATGCTGAATCTTGCAGAAGAACAAAAGGTATGACACCATTTGATCGTTTTTCTGATTACATAAGCTTCAGTTCTTAGTATCTTTGGTTTTATTGATAATGACAGAGACAAAAGGAACTTCTTCACAAAAAGATTATAGACCTCGAGTCAAAGCTTGATAAGAAGCAAGCGCTAGAGTTGAACATAGAGCGTATGAGAGGTGCAATTGAGGTGATGAAACACATGAGTACTTGTGAAGAAGAAGATTTGGAACTGAAGAAAAAGTTGGAAGCAATCGAAGAAGAGCTTAATGATAAAGAAGAAGAACTTGATGGCATGGAATCTGTAAATCAAGCTCTAATTATCAAGGAGAGAAAGACCAATGACGAGCTGCAACAAGCTCGCCAGCAATTATTAAGTGTGAGTTTTTTTATTTCATTACAAAGCAACATACCTTTCTTAATCCTTATGTTTTAGCTCTACATCTACTAACGGCTTCAGCTAATTAACACTATTCTTTGGGAGATTCACCTTTTGACAAGATTCGTGGAGACTGTAAATGCTGCGATAGAAAATGTGACAGAATTAAATAAATCATTCCCTGACGTCACTACAAAACAATATTGGTTTAGCAATTTTGTGAAGTTATACCGTGATCATCCCTAAAGTAGAGCCGCCAACTGTGCCTAGAATATTGTCAAAATTTTGATTGGAGATATACTGGTTTAGTTTTGTGTTTCACAATATAATCAGCTAACAGCTTCGAGTTACACTGCTTAAGCAGTAGCTTTTCATGCATCCAGCCTAGGTGATGCAGATAAGTAAAATCAATTGCTCAAGTCCAGATTATCAGAAATGCATTTTTGGTTTGATTAACTGGCTTTAAGTCCCTCTTTCTCTTAGTGCTTGGATGTATTGGCAGTCCTCTTTTTTCCTTTCCTCAACCACCAAAATTATAAATCCTTCAAAAAGGTCGCAGAATTTCCTAGAAATAGTGGCACAAGATATCTGTTTAAACTCCTTTCCTTCTCTCATTTTCTGCATGGAATACAAGGTTTTATCAGAGGCTGATGAAAACTTTAATTCCTTAAACTGTAGCAGTATTGCTTTAAGATCTTTGCAGAATGAAATAAGAAACAAAAATTGGTAGCTTTATTATGTTTATACATCTATCCCCAAAGGTTTTCAACGACAGCCGCGCCAATATCTGTGTGAAGAGGATGGGAGAGCTTGATGAAAAGCCATTTGTCAAAGTGGCGAACATAAAACATGGTGGTGAAGATGCAAAAGCCAAAGCAGCAGAACTCTGCTCCTTGTGGGAAGATTACCTCAGGGATCCAAGCTGGCATCCGTATAAGATGGTCGTGGAAGGAGAAACTTGCAAGGTATGCCTTTTAATTGACAAAAGTAATAATTTATCACTAGTTCATGCTTCTATGTTTTTTAGCCGACGGGATAACTCTTGATTGCATACTTGCACTCGTTCGGACTTTGGAGAGTGTATATGAGGAAGCATAATGAAAACAGTGACACATGTAATTTATCATGTGGGGGTGGGGGGGGAAATGGGACATAAAGTATGACCAGTTTGAATCCTCAGGATGAAGGCTAAAATCAGAAATTCGATTCAAACATGAACTATCTTAAGTATGCTAGCTAGGCAAGCTGCAAGTCACATGAGTTTGAGTCAAGTACCGGAAAAAGAAAAAAGAAAGAAAGAAAGACAAATGTCTTACCTAATATTGTCCAGTGCTCCTAAATCTTGTGATATATTTTCTTATGAGCTATGAGTATTAAGATGTTAGAATTTGGAATCAATTATAATGCTCTAATGATATAAAATAAGAGTATCTAAGATCTTAATAGGAATTTGTTGTGATCTACGTTTTGTTTTTAGAGTAAACGTTTGGACCTTATGAGTAACGAGTTATTTTAGAAGTAAACTATTATACTTTCTCAAAACATATAACTCGAACTTCTGGAGATTATAAACTGAGCTAGAAACCCCTGAAAGTGAGTCAATTACTGTTATCTGTTTGTCATTGTCGGTATTCAACATTTTTGTTAATGAATGCTCATATTTCTCCCTATTTTCTAGTTGAATTTTTTATTTCTGGGCCTTTTGGAATTAGTAAGACTGAAAAGTAATGCATTTTATATTTATAATTTCAAATTATTGTTTTTTAACCTATCAACATAACATTTTAAAAGTTAAATTGTATTTAAATCTGAACTTGCTCATTGTGTAGTTGCTGAAAGCGGAATATAGCTCCTAAATTTTAGTCTGCTCCATTTGAAACCTTCAACTTCGAGGAGACCTAACCTATCCATTTCATATCCTGTTTTCTTAAGATATATATATATTTGTTTACTTGATCCACCACAATGAGTCATAATGAAGGAATATGGACCAACATTGTCCCATATTTGGCTCTGGCCAGTGTTATCCTCCATTGATTGCTCTTGTTTATGAAATTCACTTTCTGCAATTTACTAGGAGATACTTGATGAAGATGATGAAAAGTTGAAAGAACTGAAAACCGAATTGGGAAACGAAGTGTATGAGGCTGTGACGACTGCACTGAATGAGATGAACGAATACAATCCAAGTGGTCGGTATCCTGTAAAAGAGCTTTGGAATTCCATCGAGAAAAGGAAAGCTCCACTGAGAGAGGGAATTGAGTATTTACTTAAACAGTGGAAGATGCACAAAAAACCAAAACGGCGTAGGAACTGAAGGTTGGTGGCTATAACTAATGCATATCATACACCAAAACGCTTTTCTTACAATATCCTCGCAAATAGTCTGTGTAATAATGTTAAAATTCTTATGATGCAGGGAAATCCAGTGCTGGAATTTTGATTTTTGGTGAAGTTTACCGATCCTGACTTGATGTAAACTACGATGCCTTAATTTCACATTAGTGAAGTTCAGTTAACCGGTAGATGTTAGTGAGCCACAATGTATAGGGTAAAAAAGTTCTTGAAAGTTAATGGGCAAATGTAGGTGTCCACTAATTTACTTAAAATGCCTTGAGTGAAGCTTAGGTTCTTACTTCCTGTAACTGCACATCAGATCTGAGAACTGATTTGGTGATTGTTACTTGGCTATTTTGACCTGCATGCTGATTGCTTGTTTCTTTTAGGTTCTAACTTCTATGGTATTAATTTCTTGTCCAGCTAATATAATTGATAACTATGCTGACCACCTTAAATTATTAGTAACTTGTTTAGAAGGGGCGAAAGCAAGGGGCAATGTTAATTTTTCTTCTTGGCAAAGATGCGGCTATTGGCATACCAGGAAATTAATCACTTCTCTATTATTCACATTGCAAATTACTGGTTCATTTTGTGCTTTATTTTAGCTGTCTTTTATATCGGATTAATTGTGGAACATCTATGTTCGAGACATTCTTCGATATACAAAGCTAAAGTTTTTCTTATCAGAGTGCCACCGTCAAAGGCTTAAAATTTGATGTGTAATTAATTTAAGCCGAACGTTGGCGTGTATTCGTTTTATATAGACTCTTTAAGACTTTTAAAAGTCTAGAGATATTCGTTTGATATTTTAAAATGTCTTACAAAATTTTAAGATATTTAACTTATTTAATACTAGAATTTGTTAAGACTTATTAAAATTTGTTGTGATTCATACAGAAAAAAACATATACGGTGTATTCATTTTGGATTTTAAGTAACATTTTGATAGTTTTTGAGATTTGAAACTTTTTAAGATTTTTAGATTTATAAGGAATAGATGGGATTTTCGAGTGAGATTTCGTATATATTTTTTTATTTAAAAATCCCATCAAATCTTAAAAAGTCTTAACAAATATGTTAATACATCAAACTTTTAGATGTCTTAAAAAGTCTAATTTAAATAAACCATGATTTTTGAAGTCATAAAATGTCTTTAGAAATCTCAAATGAATACAACTACCGAAATTTCACTCTAAATTTCACCTTCAAACTTAAAATTATAGGATTCGTCATATATTTGAAAATCTTAAAAAGTCTCAAAATAAAATCTCAAAATGTCATTCAAAATCCCAAACAAATACACCATTCTTAGATTAAAATATCAATGTTGGTTATGACTTTGAGGCAATATTAGTGATTACTAGTACTTTTTAGTTGGCTAAAGTACACCACTATAAGACTTGGAGGATGAAATAAAAATTAGATTAAAATATCAATGTTGGTTATGACTTTGAGGCAATATTGGTGATTACTAGTACTTTGTAGTTGGCTAAAGGACACCACTATGAGACTTGGAGGATGAAATAAAAATTCTATGAGATAAAAGATTGGCTAAGACTTCCTTTCAAAAAGTGTTTCCACAAAGAGGATCAATTTATTATAATTCCAATTCTTAGATTCGAATATTTTTTCTATGTCAAATCTAGCGATCTTTTCTTCTATAATTTTCTTTTAGATTATTTTCAGTTTACCATAAGTTTATTACATTATCTATATACTTTATTAAAAATAACGGTATTTTCTTCTATAATTTTCTTTTAGATTATTTTCAGTTTATTTTAAATTTATTATATTATCTAATAATTTAACAAAAATAAATTTGAAACTTCTAGTTAATCTTAAATTTATTATCTAATTTATAATTATAACTAAATGACACATAAATAAATAGACAACAAAATCAATTAAAAAAATAAACTGATTATAAACTACAAATAAAAAAAAAAAACTAATTAATTAAAAAAATAAACTGAATATAAACTACAAATAAATAAAAAAAACCTAATTAATTAAAAAAATAAACTGAATATAAAATACAAATAAACCAAAAAAAGCTAATTAATTAAAAAAATAAACTGAATATAAACTACAAATAAACCAAAAAAAACCTTATTATTTTAAAAAATAAATCGAATATAAACTACAAATAAACAAAAAAAAAAACTAATTAATAACCATATAATCATATCTTTGATTGCATATAAACAATCAAATTAACTTTCAAAATCATTCAAAACACAAATATATCACATAGTAAACACACACAATCAACGATCACCAATCGGCACCTCAACGCGACAGTGGCCTTCAAATTCTCTACATCAAAATTTAGAGAAAAAGTTGCAAGACCTGAGTCACATTTGCTATTCTCTTATAAAATTCAAATAAAAATTCCCTTCGGATTCTCTACATCAAAACTCATATAAAAAATATTATTAACAATAATTCAAAACCCTAATTTTCTCAAATCACTCACCAAAATTCCTCTAATTTCTTCATCCCGGTGGAGAATTAGACCCAATAGTCCCACCGCCGACACGGCGACGTCGCTACCTTCGACTCCCCCAACCAATCTACTCCACGACTTTATCCACCGCCGACTACTGCCGTATTTTCATCGGCGACTTCCTCGAGGAGCTCGAGAACCGCGTCGACGTCCTGACCTTATCCAACGACGGCAGTGTCAGCGAGAACAACGATGAACGGAACTTTACCTCTGGCGAGAAGAGCGATTTCGAGGTGCCCGTGGTGTACGGTGGAGGCCAGATCTGGACGATGGAAAAAAGGGTCTGAACGGCCACGACAACTGCAATGTCGAGGATTTAGATCGGATCAAGCAAATTGTGTCTGAACGGGAGAAAGAAATCAAGGTTTTGAAGAAACGTTATGGGGGAGGAGGAAACGAAGGTGAAGAAGGATGGCGGATTTAGACCGGAAATATTTGAAGGAGAGGACGGAGAGGATAAAAGCCAGGAAAACTAGATCTGGTTTCTGAGATGCTTTGGGGTTTGGGAGGAGAGAATGCAGAGGTGTTCACCCAAAGTCACGTCTGGAATTAAAATAATTAGAAACTCATAATTATGAACCAAATAACATAAAAGTGGATTGAAAATTTTAAATTCGTACTTTGGTAAATAAAAAGATATGGTGTCGTTGAGGGGGTAATTTTCTCTTTTTTTAGTATGTGCAAATACATGGAGTCAATTTGATTATTAAAATAAAGTAATATACTTTATGAAATTTTTTTCTTTGTGCACGGCATTAAATATCTATTAGTTTTTAAACTCATTCTGTATAATAATATTTCAGTTTTTATTACTTTTTATTGACTATTTTTAAAATTATACGTATAATGGGTATGATCGATCATTTAGTTACAACAATATTGCATATTAACATCATACATATAGTAACACATAATTTAAGAAATATGATTAGCAATAAAATTATGATGTTAATTTTATTTTTTTAATAACCAAGTTCATACATATCACTACTCACAATTACTAAATTACACGTAGTGCTTGTAAACTTTGCACAACACACAACACCATCATTCAATTCATATAACATATTTTCATCGCAAATATCAAGTTTTGAAACAAAAGTTTAAGCATTAAAAAAAAACTATGGAAAATAGTAAATAGAGACCAAAATAAAAAAAATTATCAAAGAGGTCTTGAAATTATATATATAATCGTAATGAAAACAGTAACCCTAGCGGTTCAAGAATGTTACGTACAATTATTCCCATGTCTTTTTTTGGTTGTACCAATCCTATTATTTTTTTAACCTTACTCTCATATTATGCCCTACAGAAAGTGGATCTAGGGGCACAGTTAGATTTTCGAGAATCAACACCTCATTTTGCAGCCATGGCAAGAGGGATTATCTGAAAAGCACCCTGGCTTTGGTGAATTAACAGTATCAGTTCAAGCACACCCATTAATTAGATGAGCACAGAGGTTGGGCTGAAGTTAGGCAGAGCATTCTTTGATATCAGGAATGTGACTTTAGCAAAAGAAGGATATCAAGGGGGCAGAATAATAAGGCTTCAGGTCTTACTGGATGTCAAAAAACCTCCACCAAGATGGACTACTAACGGATAGGAGGAGCAAACTTTTACAGTGCAATTCAAATATGAGAAGATTGTAAGTCTATGCTATTATTGCGGGATTTTGGGACACATTGTGTAGCGCCCCTTTTGATTGATATGATTTCTCGCATTTTATTTTATTTAGGTATTGCTACTAATTGTATTTTATGTGCAATGCTTGATATTATCCTTATATGCGTGGATAGACTTATAAATTGCTTACTTGCATTTTATTATATTATTAATTGCTTCTAGTTCATCATTTTGTTATCTACTCGATTATTATTATTGTGTAATTGTTTTTATTCTTTAATTTTAATTCTTGCTCGGTTATTATTAAATTGCTCGTTTATGCCTTATATGATTTATTTGCTTTATTATTGTGTTATTAGATGGGTGATTTTATTTTATTATTATATGTATGATTAGTTTAGAATTTATTAGTTTATTTGTTAATTGTTCGGCAATTTCCGGTTCAATCGCGTAGAATGGTTTTCGATTTGTTTTGACTCGTTTTTGAGTCATTCATCTGAACTTCAAGTATATTATTTTGGCCCCAAATACTTGAGTAATTTCAGTCCATGTAAGCCCCAAAACTTATGTGTTGAGAACCAGTTGGCCTTAATATAATTTTGAGCTCATTAAGCCTTGGAATTCAAATAATGGATAAGGAAATTATGGTAAGTTTTGGAGCCATCCTGATTTCTAGTAATAGTAGGCGGGGTGTTACACATCCTCATCAGCCTTAAGGATCCGTTTTGATTCCCCCAAATCAGCCATTTGAGGCTCTTTAATATGGCAATTATATCATCACAATCCTCGCATTTAAGTTGGAGTATTTTCCCATTCACTCTCCCTCATTTCCAAACGCCATTTTCCTTCCTCTCCCCTTAGAAAATCTAAAACTCCCCTCTACAAATAATTCTCTCTAACTGAAGCAAGCCATCCATTCCAATCGCAGCAGCAAGCTTTAGCCGAGAGAAATCAAGGGAGCCGAAAAACCGAAATCGAGCCTTTTGCCTTGTTTTTCTTTGAACCGAAGAGAGGTATCAAGCAAGACCTTTTCTTTTATTCTGGGCTGAGAATTATATGTAATTACTTGTGATTATATGTGCTTTAAGGTGGTTTAAGATTAGCCTTTGAGTACATATGAATATGACATGAGATTTTATAGATATCTATTTTCATATTCATGATACTGCAGCCTCTATGGAACGGTTTTTGCCCTAGCTATGCTTATTCAATTGATGTGAAATTTTACAAGATGTTTCTTATATGTTTTAAGGTTAAGCATGTCGAATTTCAGGTCATTTTGATGTCTATAGCATGTGGTAGAGTTTTTTTGAATTCAGCTGTGCTGGTTTGGCTTGAATCCCTGTTTGACCTCTATAGCATGAGATATGGATTTAAGTTAGATGAATAATTCGAATTCGAAAGTTCATAATGTAGCTGCAACTTTAGATCGATATATCTCAGCCTATGATTGTGATTTTGAATTGAAATTTTTATGACATGTTCCTATATGTGTTGAAGTACGTCTATGAAAGTTTAGCCCCAGATGATGTGAAATAAATGATTTAAAAATGTTAGAGCCTTAGCATGACTGTCTACCATTTTAATTGAGATATCTCAGCATATACTCAAGTATTTGATTCAAAATTTCTATGAGCATTTCTTGTATGAGTTGTAACCATGACTGTCAAATTTCAGCTTAAAATTATGGCTATAGAATTTTAGAGAAATTCTTGAATCAGCAGGTGTCAATCTCATGTTTGTGTTCTATGTTTAGCTGAATGGTTGACTGGCCTATAGTTGAGCTTTTGACCTGAAACTTTTACATGAGATACATAAACTTGTGGGCTATTAACTGCTATGTTTTAGAATTTTATGAGTTATGTGTAAGTGTCCATTTCGCCTTATATAGTTAAGGTCATTGGGAACCCTTAGACCGGTTCATCGTCCCTTCAGATAGGAGTTATATAGCTCAGTACATGGCCGGTTAGATCAGTCCAGTTAGTCAGTATCAATTTTTGCTTGTCTTATCTGCCTTATGTGAATTATTTGATTATCTGATTTTATCTGCCTTGTCTGCCTTGTTTGCTTATCTGCTATCACCTATAATAATAAGATAAATATTATTACCTGTAGAGTATTGAGGAGTCGAGCCCTGGACCTTGTTTGAACGTGCATTCACCGTCATCCTCTGCGGTATTAGGTGGGTGTTGATAAACCTTACCGTATATGTTATTTGATATAATTGCTTGGCTTGATAATCAATGTATGCATGTCAACCGTTAGTCTATGAGAGTGTATCTCCGTTGATGGGGTTCCGACGTTCTCCTACTTTAGCCTATAGAGAGTATTCTCCCATTGATGGGGTTCCGACGCTTTAGCTCCCATTGATGGGTTTTCGACGGTTTTGATGTGATCGCATGAGCGTAGGGTTGTTTAGGAGGTAGACTAGACAATTTGTGTTCATGCTGCGATTATGGTTTTAAGTCATTATATTTGCACAAATAATTTGTAGCTTGAGGAGAGTCGAGCCTCTACTAGCTACACATCTATCTCGGCATTTGCATTTCATCAGCTATCAGGTAGGGACCTTGTAGTGTATATTACATCGCCTATAATTGCTTATCCTATCTGAGGTATGTGTGTGAGTAGATTAAGGACCAGGATGGATGATTAGTATCTGTCTTAGGTCGAGATGAAGTATGACTTGGATGTGTGGTTATTAGGGCCCGTCCTAAGTCTAGCGCCTAGATGAAGGTGAGTGAGCCTTCCTGGGTTTATGTGGGAGGAGACACCCAGATTGTGCACACGAGTACCGGAGAGTCCGGTAGTCTTAAATAGCCATTTTATTTATATATATGCCGATTTCATGATTTGTTATTATTTGTGATGAGTATTCGGTGCTGGTTTCTGTGGAGCACGTGGACTATATGCTCACGCCCCCACTTTCTATTTTTTTAGTTGACGGAGTCCAGTGTGGCGCGTGAGCCGGCTGTGGTTGTGGTCAAAGCTAAGGATATTCTTTACAAAACATGTCATGTAGTATATTTGAACATGTTTGGATTAAGTATGTTTGTTTGTATTTTGAACTAGTATTGCTTCTGCATTTTTAGACTTATTTAAGATTATGAGACATTAGATTCGCATGTTTAATTCCAGTGTTTTCATGGCCTTAATTCCGGAATGGACTTTACTTGGTTGCATGCATGATTTGTTTAAATGTCTTGAGATAAAGAAATAAATATAAGAAAGAGATAAAGGGAGATAAAGTAGTAAGTTAGCAACATCCCGCAAGATAAAGATAAAGTATTTTTAGAAAAGTTAATAAGAGTTTTCGAAAATTAAATAAATGTTTTCAAATGATAAAACGCGAAAATTTTACTCTGATTTAGTAATAGTAGTCGGAGTGTTACAACATTATTGGATTAAAAGCATATGGAGGTTGTCTGGATACATGAGCTTTTAAATGAACTAGGGGTTGTTCTTAGAGTCGATGCTATTGCAGGGGAAAAAGAACTAAGATCCAACACCAAAATAAACATGTACAAAGGCGCTATCATTTATTTAGAGATAATTGATAGAGAAGAAACAAAGTTAGGACGTGTTAAAACTGAACATAACTTGACTAGTTCACTCCCTTAACTGTTGTGCACATCTAGACACAATAGTCAAAAGTCATTTTGAGAAGATGGGTATTAGATACATTGGTGATTGACTCTAGTTCACGTGGGAGAACACTTGTTTCCTCTATATTGAGTTGATAAAGTCATTGGCCAATGCACGTACGTGATTATATTTTAAGTGGTGTTCCAATATAATTACCTAAAGTCTTAGTAAGGTGAGATAAAATGATTTTAAGTTGTTTGCATAGACACACATTAAAGTCTTAAACTTAATTGAGTGGTTCATGAATGAAGGGACAATATCACCATTGAGTTCTACACTAAGGGTTTCTTTGCTTTTTCCGTGGAAACTTACTTCATATTTTGAGTTCGCCATGTGACGCAATATAAAAGTTTCGTAAATATCATAAATTAGATTCATGTTAACTAGTACGTAACCCGTGCGATGCACGGGATGTAAAATTTGGAAGAATAATATAACGTCACGTGCATTAGGATCGAAATTGAAATCATTAAAATACATAGGAACATTGTTGAATCATAAAAAGTTCGGTAACAATCATATATTATTAAAAACCTTCTTGTATACAACATTATGAGTTTGATTATTTGGTAACTCCTCATTATCACAAACTAATATTTTCAAAAGAGACAAATCCTAAAAATCAAACTAATTTTTTTGGTGAACAAACTAATATTTTAGGATTGATGAACAAACTAATATTTGAGGATTTCTAGGATTTGTCTCTTTTTGGTGAACAAACTAATATTTTAGGATTGGTTATATGAATAAGGCTACCTGTTTTTGGTGTTCTTTTCATTCATTTTCATTCAAACAATCCGATGACTTGTATAATGAAATTCAAATCTTAAGCCGAAATATTTAAAAAAAGAGTTTTTAAAAATTGAAAAGTCAAGGCAATCAGTTCAGATTAATTAAAGGTCAAAGAATATCCGCTCCTTGAAATAAAGACGTGTGCTATCATTAACCAAATATCCGGTTATTGATATAGAGTGGTTACCAAAAAATAGAACGCGATAAGGACGCTTCATGGAAATATCAATGGGATAAGGTCATAACAGATTGCTATACATTTTAACGATAAAAGCTCAGATGGAATGATTTATGATAATTATGTTGTAATTAATGAATTAATTAGATGTGTGAAAATGATATAATTAATGAGAAGTGTGAAAAGGACATAATTAATGAGAGTGTGAAAAGGACATAATTAATAAGAAGTGTGAAAGGACATAAGTAATGAGAAGTGTGAAAAGGACAAAAACTTACCAGTTTTGGAAAATACTTAATGCAAATTTGACATTGACCATAATTTGACCTACTATTTTGGATAAATGTTAATTCTTATTATATAAGTATAGATATATAAAGATCACTAGGGTAAAACAATATGCAACTAGTTTTTCGACTAAGAGTGAATCTAGAGTGTTAATATTCGTTACATTGAACATTTATTTATGAGTAATGAGATTATTTTCTATTCGATAGAAAATATTTAATTAAGATAAATTGAATTTACACTTAATTAAATTGTTATTGGATTGATTCAATTAGCTATTTGGTCATAGGATCTCCTACAATCTATATAATTAGGTTTGACCTAATAATAAATAACTCAGTATCTCTTCATAGTTTTTGATCTGAGATCCAAACAATTTCTAGCTTTTTGGATTGAGAATTTCTAGTTTCTTCACCAAAAGAGATTCATTGGCATTGAATCGTGCATAGAGAAACTGGATTGCGTGGATACCATAGTATAGGGAAAAGATTATGAACAACTGTAAGTTTTTTGTTTATCAATCACCGACCTACGGTCATATCTAATAGCTATAGCCGGATCTTCATTACTCGTAATGAAATTTTATATTATGTTGTGTGTGTGCTAGGTTTTCACGTCAAAGTTTCAGCAGTGGTATCAGAGCACCGGGTAAATGTTCATAGCTATTTAATTTATGAAGAATAATTAAAATTATTTTAATCATGATTAAACCAAAACAAGAAGAATAAATTTGGAATTTGTTTGTATATCCCGATTGCGTACACACAATTATGGGAACTGAAACTCGTTCTCGCCAATCTCACTACCGTCGAACTCATCACTGGTCTTATGTCGCGCGTTGCTTGACCTTCACGCCGCTGCAGAAGATCGTCACCACTGAGGCTGGCTGCCGGACCTCGCGCGACCAAGCACCGTAGCAGCTGGGCGGCTACAATAATAATTAAAAAAAAGTCAAGCTGCGTGACGGGCTGCAACTCGTTGAGAGTTCGTAAACCTCAGTCGGTCATGCTTTTAGGCTAGCGGCGGTGGCTCTAGGGATCTCTGGTCACCAGGGACTTACGCGACCTATGGTCGCCGCTTCCGCTTGGCTATTGCGGTTTTAT